AAGGGCTCAGGGCACAGATCCAGCCACCTGCTGCAGGAGCCACGCTCAGCTCCAGGCCAAGACAGCTGCTGGCGGCAGGAGGGGGAACGGGACCTTCTGGGAATGCCTCCTCATTCCCAGCCAGTGTCTGGCCCCGCCACTCGGGAAAGGGCCCATGGTGGCAGGTCACTCGTGATCCGCCGTCACACACCGCCCTGCGAGCCCTCACTGACCACACGGTACAGTTTAGCCACAACCCACATGAAATGCAGAAGTGAGGAGCAAATCTTTCCACTGGCATGGCTGCAGAGCAGGGCGCTGAGCTCACTGTCTGTCTTTCCTGAGGACAGGAACAGCTTGGGAAGCATGTCCTGCCAGCCACACACAGTCCTGAAGAGATGAGATGAGCTTGTAAACTCTTCCCCTCCAGCCACGTGCTCTGGAGCTGGATCCATCCCTCCTTTGCTGCAGAATTGCTTGTGGCTTTCAGCAGGTGTTTATCTGCCTGGCTCGCCCCTGGATAAGCCTGAACTTCAGGGGAAAACACGCCTCTGAAGGCCCTGGGGGACACAAATCACCGAGGTCAGGTCCACCCCATTTCCCACAGGGGTCCAGAGGTGCAGCATCCCACGGTGTGGGGAGCAGCACCTCATGGTGAAGGGGGGCAGCAGTCTGGGTGCTGCTGCAGGTGCCCCCCCCACACTCCTCCACCTGCCACGGATGTGGTTACACTGAGGACACATACAAGGAACCCAGCTAGGTGGTTTTCTTTCAAGAAGCAAAGCCTGCCTCTCTGTTCTTTCTGCAGCGTTAATAATCAGATCTGTTCCAACCACCGCACATGGAAAAAACTGCTATGTGCTAGAGGAAAAACTGAGATCAAGGGAGAAAGTGACCTGCCTGTGCCTATGCGCCAGAACACCACAGGACAGAGAGCAAGAAACCAGAGGGGAGGGGAAGCTCTGCAATGATTCACAGGCTGGAAATGGCAGTGGTTTCTCAGCACCGGAGCAGTGGAGCCCCAGCGTGCACAGCCCAGCACTGCCACCAGCCGAGGGCACAGCTCCAGCCTCTGACCCACGTGGGCTGGCCCAAGGAGCTCGCAGGCACACTCTAACCACCTCCAGAGCGGAAAGTCTGCTGCAAAGTCTTCTTTTTACCTTCTTCGGCTCCATGGCTACATGAAGCATCTCAAATAGCCTGCTGCAGAGCAAAACTCCCTCTGCCAAGGGAGGCTGTGGTGGGGCGAAGGGAAGCTCTGGCCATGAGGAGCGGGGATGAGGCGTGAACCCTCCCTGCAAGACTGGAAAAGCTCCGTGTAACCCGGTGGAGGAGGACAGTGACGAGCGCAGGACCCGGACGATCTCTCGGAGATGCAAGACCTCCCTCTGCCGTCGGTGTACGCTGCTGGCCGCCGCTCTGGCTGCTGAGTACGCCAGGGTGAGCTTATTTCCCCTACGCTCGGGCCGTGGAAGGGAACCTCACTGCCTGGAGCTACTAAAACGGCTCCCAGAAGCTCCACTGTGTTATATTTTAAAGCCCAGTGTCTGAGTACTGAGTAAAAGCAGAACAAATGCGAGAACTAGAAGAGGGACCCAAGACTGTAGTCTTACTTTCACTAAGTGCTGAACATTTTCTGGAGTTTTGGCGAACGCGTGGGGCAGGACAAGGAAGTTCTCATAGTGGTTTCAACAGTCCTTGTTTGTATCACATGGAGAATAATGTAGTTTATCCCCAAGAAATTAGTTGCTTTTGAAGAATGAAGCACAGATCAACACAACTGTGACATGAGGCAAAACCCCACACCAAAACAGAACAAAACCTTGTCATCGTTAGTATACTTAAACCAAAGGAAAGCTTTAGGACTGCAAGCACACTCCTCATTTGCTTTTACAGTTACTTAACATAGCCTTGGTACTGCAGGAGAGGTTACCCCTTCTTATGCTGATCTTACCAGTGACCATCCAAAGGTCCAGAAGCAAGTTTGCTCTGCTTTTGTCAATCAGATGGCATGAGGATCCAGGGTATACCATGAATGCTTTCTTATAGATGGGGTGCTTTACAAGATCTCATCCCCCAGTGTAAGGGGACCTGGGGGATGTATTGTTGTAATTCCAGATGAAGCGATGCCTTTGTGTTAGGCAATTAATGCTGACAACAATTTATCAGACCTATTAAGGCCAGTCTTTGACTGGAGACAGACTCATTTAAAAAGCAAGCTCGACTGCCAGCTTGTCTCCTCCCATTCTGCCCCCCTCCCTCTTTGCTAATTGACCTCCTAAGGCTGACTCCTTGTGCCAGACACTGGGAATTTCACAGATCCTAGTGGCCAGATTGCATTAGCAGGAACAATGCGTACTTGGGGGGCTACAAGATCAGGTGCTGACGAGGTGAGAGCAGCCCTAGCAGCGTACTTCACCCTCCTGCAGGAACTCTCCACTGGATTTAGAAGCCCAACTCACTTGCTCTCCATCAAATAAGGCTTGTTTTCATCAGGAGTTTCTGCACACAGATGAGATGAATCAAGGCTATACACACATGTACCTCAACAGAACGCCTTTTTAAATCAAATAGCAAGTATCAGTAAGAGATACCATGTGTATGAACACGTTCGTATTGATGTATTTAGCAGCACAGAAACACATAGCTCTTCGTCAGCAGTAGAAGTCTATGGCTGGGTTTATCTCGGATGCTCATCACAGCACAGAAAGCAGTGCCATGAATTCTGTTGCCAAGCAAACAGGTGCCAGGACATGACTTCTTACTCACACACTAACGTCATCAGTTAAAAAAGAGCCAGCGTGCATTTTCCAGTCAATACTTTTGGTCTGTATCTTCTGTTAAATAATTCCCAAGTGACAATTGCTGCAAATCAAAATCAGACCCAAGTTGTACAGTGAGGAAATGGCTCTGCACGGGCAGGGTACAATCACCAGCAGTTTCTGACTAGCCATCGCTGCAAGCCAGCCATCACCTCCTCATTTGGAGCTACCGGAACTGGGAACACCACAAGGATGTCACCATCACAGATTTGACAGCCAGGGGCATTAAAGTGATGGGAGCTGTAAAGGTTTCAAAAGAAAAGCAGGGTCCACTGTTTAAAAGATTTAATGGCAGCCAAAAGTTGAAGTCTCTGCACTTCTCAGTATCTTTCCTGCAGCATTCCACAGCCAGCAAAGAGCATTTTCAGGGAGATGAAGTGTACAGACCACAAGGAAGAAACGACTGGAGTGAACATGAAGGTACGATTTTATAAATTAAATGGCCTTTATTTGTAATTCATCTTCAAAAGTCAAAAACACAACAAAGTAATTGCTTGGAAGCTTCTAACTGCTCCTTAAACATTTTATCAGAATTGCATGGAAGTGCACTTAGAATAGTAGCAGAAATCTGGATTCTGGCCAGTGGGTATCACCAAACTGCATTCTAGCCAGAACCCTGAAATCCCCATCCAACCACTAATACACTGAAATCTCTTTGCAGATCAAGCATGAAAAATAACCAACCCCAAACACAGTACCATTTCCCACAGTACAATGAGATTTCCCCTGCCCCCAGGAGTGAGCTTCCAGTCACCAGCACATACTTAGGGATGAGTCTTTAACAGCCCGTAACAGGTTGGAAAAACATACTAAACCCAAGTTCAACTGAAGTATGTTAGAGGTCTGGCTGGACACAAGGTTTAATCAAGAGGTTTTAACCAGGGTGCATTTCACTGTTTTAAGGGTAAGGCTATGCTGCAGTCTGCAAAATGTGATTATACTAAATTTACTGGTCAAATAAATAAACTAGTGCTCAATCCTGTGGTGGTGCAGGTCCACTGCTCCAATTAAACATGCTTAAATTAGACTAGACATCTCAACACTACTGTGATTTACAAGTTCTGGCCAGGTGTCTTAGATCGTTAGATCTCAGCATCTTGACTGTGCAGACTGTTAATTAAAACATTAAACTAAAAAGGAACGTCTATAGTGTAGACTTGAATACAGAATATCCATTTACCATGTACTGGAACTGTAATCCTTCTTTCTGAGTTACATTTTACTTTCCTTTAGAAGTTTTACCGGCAAACTGTACACGTTATATGGAAAACACTCCAAGTACAGCTTCAGCTACTTCAGCAACATTTAAATGAAGAACAGGAATTCAAAATACCTGTTAAAATCTGTAATGCAGACAGGTAGTGTTATGCAAGTGCAGTGACTTGCTGGTAAGCTTTGCTACCAGCTTGCCTTGAGAGATGGAAAACCTAGGAATATATATGAAAATTTTAGTTTAAATAGAAAGCAGAGGTATTGGGGGAAAAGAAAAAAGCACCCTTCTTAATTCCCCTATCAGCATAAGGCTTAAAATCACTAGAAAATCTGTTTCAAAACCACTGATTTAATCACAAAGCCAGCAAATATGACTAAGATTTGCTAAGATAGTTTAAAAATTATGCATTTTAAATAAGACCAACATTCAAGTTTATCTTCCAGGCTAGAAATTATGGTCAAAACATGGAAGAAAGTAATAATCATACACAGAACTAAAGTATTTTGAACTAGTTACTTAAGAGGTGCAAAGATTTGCTAAGTTTGTAGTTTGAAGACTCATACTAAAAATGTATTTTCCATATAGTTGAGAGGCTGCATCTGAGAATTTAAACACTGGGAAACATTATGAAATCACAGGCATCATAGGTCAGTTTAAATGAGAGTTGGTCTGACAATTACAGTTAGCACCTAGAGGTCTCACTAAGGGAAAACAGAGCTACAACTACACCTCTCCTACTAGCATTTAAGATATGTAAATGACACTGGGAAGAGATATTTATTAACTAGGTCAGGCCATTCCATTTGGAATGTTTTTGTTTTTAGGCAATCAAATGAACACAACTGCAAAATAAACCAGGAAACAGTTAAAGGAAACCAGATTTGCCTCCTCCATGTTGACCTGCAATTAAGCTTTGTGTGAAGCAAGTAACCAAAGTAGGCTGACAGGGTTGAATGGTATAGACCATTGGTATAGAAATAACCAACTTGGATTTGAAACCGGGGTAGGGATTGAAGTCTTCCGTATTCATGGATGCCTGAGTTAATCTCTGAATGCACAGGGAGAAGTGCGAGGATGCTGGGCATTTCCCCCTCATGGAAGCTTGATTTTACAGCTAATCTTCTGGTTGGTTCATTTATCTCGCAAAGAACGCATCAAAACCTGTGCCATCATATCATCTTCATCAGCATCGTAATCCTGTGAACAAAAGGGACAGGGGTGGTTAATACAACACCAAATTAGACAGAAAACCCCTGTTTTTCCCTTTGACTTGCCAATAATCCAATTTCTCTCATGATACCCCCTGCAAGGATGAGATTTCACAGTAGTGGCTATGTAAAAAAGCTGGGGTTCAGGAGCCATGAGGCTGTATTCCAAGGGTGAGGAAACACATACCACAAAAGTATCATATGAAAAGCGATGTCGTCTTTGAAGGTGCTCCATGAAGTTAGCACTCCTGTAATTTGGATCTCCCCATGGCATTGAGGCACAAATTGGGCAAACCTTCAAGAAAAACCCAAAAAAGCCAATTAAGCCCCAATGGTTAGTGCTTTAACATTTACAGTAGGAAGGGCAGGACAGACATAGCATGGAAGACTGAAGTTTGAGGTTTATGATAATCACTATTCTATATGCACAGTGATGTCAAACAGTTTACTGGGATACCTAATACAAAAGCCTCAGATAATCCCAAACAATTAACTAATGTTTTAGATGTCTGAAACAGAATAACTTATTCTTCTCCCTACATTCTGAAAATCAGAATTCACTACAGCTGTTTGCTTTAGAAGATTTCAGCCTTTATTTCCCAGTAACAGAACAGTTCCCTTGATCTCCTTTGCAAAGATCACTTCTCCCCAAGAGAAAAAAGGAACTTTTTCCTAAATAATTTGGAATTCCAAAAAAAGCTTTCCAGAAATATGAAAGTTTCAAATTCAGTTCCATGTTTTGCATTTCCTCTTATATGGAATATCAGGGAGTATCAGCAGACAAAGACTACTGGAATGATATACCATTTTTTGTAAGCATTTTTACCTGCAGTTTATAGTATCTTGCTGAAAACACCAGAGGGGAAAATTAAATGTTTGTCTTTTTCGTGGAATTGTCTTTTATTAACTTATGTTTGCTACTGTGCTTAATGAACTTCAAATATCTGCCATTTTTCATAGAAAAAAGGAGGAGGATGTCACCTAGCTGCAATAGGAATAGAGTAGTCACCTCCAGAGAATGTACTGAAACCCAGCATTAAAATCATGTGCAAGTTAAATGTATGAACAGCATACCCACATTTGACTTGAACAGGAAGAATTATAAACATGTACTTAACTTCAAGAGTCTCTAATTCATTGTTTCAAAGGGATTTAAGACTAGACTTCATTGCAATTCTTGCACCAAGACTTTTTATTACCACTTGTTTTGCATCCATGCTGTGCAATGTTTTGCAGTGTTCAACTAGTCCTTCTTGATCAAAGTTTTTCTCGCTGCAATATGGGCAAGGAAAGGTAAAGCGATTCGGGAAGTTCCTGGTTGGGGGAGAAAAAGAGGTTATTTATCATTGTAAGAAAGTTAAAAGTAAAAACTTTAGGATTCAATACGCAAAAGTTACCAGCTCTTAAGAATACGAGTTATTTAAAGCAATAATCTTATTCTGTACAATTAATCCAAGCTAATTTTAACAGTTCGTAAATTCCTAACAATAGTTTAAGGAACTCTTAATACCATCCAGATTTACATAGAATGATAGTTTTCTACTAATGTTGCCATTTATCACCTTTTATTTTAATGCACAGGGTACTACCCAATATGCTACAACACAGATGAGTGCCCTACAGTTCATTCCAACTTCCCTTCTTTGTAAGTTATTATAACCAAGAGACAGAAAGATAAAGGTTTTATTTAAAAAGTAGCTACTTTTACTGAGTGCCCTGACTTTAAAGATGTTTTGTGCACAGACCACAGTAGAAAGCAGCATAGCTTGCCTGTGCACAGTCAGTTGCAGGATTAAGGCTTCGTTTTTCACTATGCAAAAGGATTAAAACGATTAATGCCCAAACTGAGCAAAGAGGTGAGGTCTGCTTTTACTTCTTTGACAAAAAAATTACAAGTATTTCCAGAGAAGAGCTACTTACCTGGTGTTGTGAAGTGGTTCTTTCGTTACAGCTTTCACACCTTCCATGATGTAATTCTGGTACTTTGAACAAGAAGCTGCATGGCTGCGCATCTTTGAGAGATACATCTGTGCAGGCAAGAGTTGCAGAGCAAGGTTAATTGTAACTACTTGCAGTTACTGCTACACTTTTAAGTAGTGACATGTAAAACAAAGCAGCTTTCTGCAGACAGTGTTGAAGCAGGAAAACCCGAACACTTCAACTGGCCAGGCGGAAAGCTCTGAGATTACAGATTAGTTAATCTGTAACTTTGCTGCCTCTAGCATCTGACAAAAACAATGCTGTTTAGGACAGCAGTTTTCTTAACCTCTAATATAGTGTTGTCTTGTCTGGGATTAAACCATGACAAGTGTATGTATATATAAAAACTGCTTCATCTAACGCCAGTTTACCCGGCCTATGACAGTGCAGGGAAAATAATTCAGCTTTAAGTACAGATCTTGGTGTAGATTGATTGCTATTTGTCCAATCCCATTAACAAAAATTAATTAAGGCACTACAGTTTTCTATCCTCTGGGATGAAGACACTACCCAGAAACAGAGCAAAATTAACTGAACTGTTACCCTCACCTTAGTGTGTCTAATTATCTTCTTGTTGTTTTGCCATCTGCTATGATATTTTCTTATACACTCAATTAACGCTAAGAAGCCCAAGATTACAAAGAGAAAGGAACTATCAGGAAGGGCGCTGTACAGGGATTCAACATGCAGGATGCTAACAAACAAACATATGGAATACACTAACCATATAAGACAACTTTGACTCACAACTATTTCAAACAAAGCAAGTAAGTTGATGTTTAAGAGCCAAAGAGATCACTACCTAAACCCCACATCCACTGTTTAATGTCCATCCCAGAGAGACATGCTCACAGAAGCAACTTCTGAAGCACTATTTCACTCTTATTTTAAAGTCACTACCTTCTGTTTGGAATTCACTTCCTGAAGAGGTCAGCAATAAAAAACCATGGAAGAAAGTCAACATTTGGGCGGTGCTTACATAAAATATCTCTAGCACTTATCAGAACAAGCATTTTAACCCGATTCTGCATAAAGCAGAAGAGCAAGCACTTTATTTCCCTCTAAGCAGTACGGCTGAGCAGGCACAGCTCATGCACTTTATTTCCAAATACTTTCATACTTTTTTATTGCAGCCATTGCAAGTGGTTTCTGTCGTTTCAATTTGCTTTTCCAAGTCCAGAGCTCTGCTCCCAGGTGACAGGGTACTGCGGCACACACCACAGACCGGCTTTTTCGGCTTAAGACATTCCTGCAGGCACGGAGTGCAAAAGCTGGGGTGGGAGAGGAAGAGCAGGTGGTGAGAACAGCCCCCCTGGACACCCAGCATAAGCATCCAGAGCCCTTCCATGCCTTCTGTGCTAAGTGATACTGGAACCTCACGAACCTATATCTAATAAACCAGCAGCCTGGTGACATTTGTGCGTGCAGGGAGGAGGAGGGCTCTAGTTCATAATGCTCGGTGTTGTCGCTTTTGGACAATGCTCTTTCTGCTCCCTCCTTTCCACATCTTTCCGGAGGAAAGGGAACTGAAAGCGAAAGACTATTAGTCTTTTTCCTCCCTTTCACGGAAGCTCCAGGCCACCCGTAAGACCCTGCTGAGAAGCAAAGCTACCAGCAGAGCCCCCTCCTCCTCAGCCAGCGCCGCTTCACCCCATTG